TTTGTTAGGAATTTCTGCATTAATTAAAAAGACAATTTCAGGGACATTGTCTCAATACATGTAATGTAGTCAGGTTTTGTGCTAATTCTGCACCATGTACCACATATACTAATAATTTCTTATTGTCTTCAGGACTTGATCAATTTTTTTTGGAGAAAAAATATCTACAACTTGCCTCTTGACAATTAACAATGTAATTGTGGAGTGAAACCTGAACTGTTTTGTTGACTGGGTTACTTGCATGAACAGGTGAAACAAACAAAAAATATAAATAATCTCCCTTAATTTAATTATGGCATTTGTAATTATTGACAATTTCAAGAGTCAGACGCATAATTAATTATTTAATTACAATTTTAATGTAATACTAATTAATGTACTGTACTAGAAAAAATTGTTTTCCCTCAGACTACATTTTTTGTATTAAAAATTTTAATTACAAGCAACTCATTAAAGCCTACTCTTAAATATTCATTAATTTAAATTGACTGACACTTCTCATTTATACACAGAATTGGGACATGGAATATACAACAAAACAGACTATTGTAGTTGCCATGTACAAGCAGTCTCAACTTTCAAACGACCTTCCTTGGAGGTCAGATGCATTAAAAAATGTGTAATCTGACATGCACTTGGCAAATCAGTCACAAACAAAAGGTGAAAATAACACCAGTAAGATTAAACATATTAAATTCAGGTTACACAAAGCAAGAAAATTAGGGTGGAATGGAAAGTTCAGATATCTTATTCACCGTAACATCCGAGATTCATCTACACAAATTTATAAGTGTAAGAACATTATTTATATACATTGGATACAGTGATCAGAGATGTTTGGGCTGGCTGCAGTAGTACACACATACATCTCACATTACGTCTTTCATACAACATGTGTTTAGACTACAATCTGATGAGTTCATGACACTGGTCAATAAATATCCTAAGAGGAGGACAAGACTGGAGCGAATAAACTTAAAAGTACAAATGCAGTTAATAGGCAAAGATACGGCTGCTGACATGTCTTTCTGTTAAATTAGCGTTGTCAATGTGGAAGCTGAGGCAGCAGCAACCAGTGAAGTCAGTCAACTGTCGAGATGTAAACATTAATCTGAGTTGGATGATCATTAACATTCTTCACTGTTTTCTCTGATATGTATATATATGTATCCACACCCAATGTACACATGCAGTAATGCCTAGACTGAAGGACTTACCCGCTCCACGGAGGCACAGTGTACATTTCTTTAGACGCTTGGACATTTTTGGCTGAACTGCGTTTGGTTTTACGTAAGAAGATCACTGAAACTATGTACGCAATTAATATGAAGGGATCATTACATCTATAAAGATATGGGGTCTTCTCAGTAGGAAACTATGTGACACCAACCACAAGTTTGCCATACCCCCAAGTACGGACCCTTTAACTGAATGGCAAATATTCAGACGGCTGCCTGCTTGAGCACATCTGGGTTATGTCTGCATTGAAGTATTCTAAACTATGCATCGACTGCCTGTACATCATTATTCAAGCAGCTCCATTCAAGTGTCCACATCCTGTCAACTGACCACTTCCTGGATGTTGAGGGGTCCGTGTTTCCACCCCATTGATCGCTAAGTTAGGAGGTCCGACTGTCATGAAATATCAAAATACCATATTTGTCTTCATTTGTTTACTTCTTCATATATCAGGAACACCAAAGCCACTTAAGTAAGTAATAACAATTATAGATACACTAGAAGTCTGTAGTTATTTTCTATCTAAAAGTTCAGCTCTGTGAATGTTTTAGTTTTTGTACATACGCCATTTTGCAATTGAGCATTTCCAGTGCAAAAATTGATTTATATCTCAGTTTTAAAAACAGTAGACAAGTTGTTGTGTTTTATTAACAGTCCATTAGTCAATTACGGTAGTTCGTACTATGTCCATACAACAATTCAAAATCTTTCATCTGATATAGATACAAGTATGAAATTGAATTCTAATTCATTGGTACCAAATTTCAAGGCCAAAAATGATAAAATTGCTTTGAAGTTTATGAATGACATTGTAATATCAGGATATTTTTAAAAAAAACTGAAGCAAGCAAGTAGGACACACAGACAATTGCTTTTGATGTCTCAAGTCTTTATAATTGAGCTTAACCTGAAGTGTAAATTTGGGGGTGAAAAATTCAATGAATAATTGAAATTAGTTAATTAACGTTGATGAATTGATAGTGGACTTGTATTAGAATAACGATAGACATGTTACATACTTTGTTATGTTTTTTAAAGAATTTGTTGCATGTAAGGTAAAATAAAAGTCAAATATTTTAATAATAAGCATTTGTTATTATATGCATTAATTTATACTTAAAATGAATAAAATTCAATCCGTAAATAAAATTCAATCTGTGAATTTGCACAAAGTGAAGAGCAGTCAGGCTTTTATCAAATACAAGGCTTAAATTATTTTATTGCAATGAATCTGACAATTATTAATTTACTATGTTTCGCATTATCTTGGTATTAAACTGACACGGATTCAATACATTCACCTTTTATGAGGCATATCACTGTGGAAATCTGACGCCCCTTGTTTTGTAAATGCTCCCGGCTACAACATGTCGTCAAAATAAAAATAAAATGTAAGTTACTTTCAACAACAACAATACTCTGATAAATTTTTACAAGCATTATTGTCCAGTTGCCTTAGACGAATAAAGTTCAATATTAAATTTAATTTTCATTTTGATGAATATGATTACAATATATATACATACATATAAAACAAAACAAAATTTGGGTTGAATATAATAACAATATTTACTCTATTAGAAGCACATCTCAAAATTCATAATAAAAAAATGAACAACTCCATTCATTGTATGCTGGATTATTGAAGTTAGAATTATTTTTATTATAGTCACATATGCAACTAAAAAATGTAAGCGAATGCAAAGAGTGAAAAGAGTATTAAAGGATGTTTTGACTGTTTTTTTTTTTATAATTATTTTACATCTTAAAACTGTTTTTTTATAAAGATGCAATAAAATATTCAATTGGCTCAGAGCTCATTTATATACATCGAAAAGAAGGACTGCACAACTCAAGCATACACACGTATTAATTGAGAAGAATACCTCAGGTGTCAATGGGAACCGCCACTCTTTGTGACAAGTACAACTACCACGGTAGATCTTTTACAGATACTAAGTAACAGTGTATGGGACTGACAGATTTATGTCCCCATCTGAAAGAACCACATTCTCCCACATATGAATACTACGAGCCTGGCAAGTGGGCAGAATGTACTCTTTTTTTTTTTTTTTTTTTCACTGCTAAGTCCGCAGCCGTCCATGGGAGCCAAACCTACAATCTCCCGGGTTGACATGCTAAAAATTGTGTTGCACACCAAGTTTATGGTACATATATGATACTTACAAGGATTATCTACTTGTACATACAAAATGTATGTACAACTTTGCTAATATTTATTTATTTAATTACTGAACATCTATTGGAATGGATGATAATGAAATGCACACAAAAACAGCTAAGAAAAACAGAAATAAAAAAAAACAATCACACCTAAACTAAATATTTTAAGATCAATGATGTCTTAATGCAGCACTGAAACAATTTTCATCAAAAAAAACAAAACATTTTTTTCACAACTGCACAGAAAAATTACAAACACTACTTCATGTGAGTATACAAAACTCTATTGAACTGAAACCATTGAGACTGGAGATTTTATGGGTTCAATCAAAACCTTGAAAGTAATTGCACTGTCAACAATCCTCACCATTATATTACAGGAAGCAAATTACTGACTACATATATAAATCAAATTAAATTAAATTAAGACATAATATTTGAAATAAAAATGTCATTCTTTGTTGACAGTTATTATATAAACCTGTCTGTATAAAACTGTGAAAGCATTTAATAGAGATTAACCACTTGAAACAACCCTATTTTGCGAGTTAGTGAAAACAATGCAACTTTATTCACCTGTTCACAGGGACAGGCAATTTTTATTTCATCAGGGAAGTGGGAGGGGGTATTAATATATCATCATTGTCGTTATTGCAAAGACTCGACAAGGCTTGAAATCAACATTATTTGGGGGGGGGGCAGACAATATGGGTTGTTCAACAATGGTGTAGTACTTGAAGCAGTGCACACATTTGTGAATAAAACATGGAAGTAACCAACTCACTTTGTGTAGGATAACCATTACTTGGTTATTTTGGTTTCTTTGTTGAGAGACGTTTTTAATTAAAAATTCCTAGTAGTCCACTATGGCTACTAATTTTGGAAAATGGCAGGCCTAGCACAAGTCTCTGTGCATTGGGCTACTGCTAATTTTAACCCTGCAGCATAGTTATTATGTTTAGTCAAACTAATATTAAAGGGAGAGGGTCGTCACATGCGCACACGTGGGAATTGACTCCCAAGCGATGATAACAACACATGCTAAAAACGAAAAATGGGTAGATGCTTGTTTATAAACAATGACACGCTATGGCCATCTGACGCATGCGCAGGTGACAACTCCCACGCTTTAAACAACATTTTTCAACCAAACTTCTGTTGAAAAAACTAAAGACTCCTTGACAGAGGTTATGTATGTACAGCCACATAAAAACATAAATATTGACAATAACATGTACATACCTTAATATCACAGAATACAATACAAAAGATACTATATATATTCAGTAACTTGAAATTCAAATCTGCAAATGTAAACAAAGGAAATTTATTCAGTGTGATAATAATAATCTTGATTGCTTTTTTTCTCCCTGTACATGAAAAGGATTAATTGTATGCTACAACCTATAACACAATACAAAGGCTACATAGACCATATTTGCTTTATTTTAATTATTATAAATAAGTCTTAATTATATGATGATCCAATGTGTAATGCACTTTTAGTAGAACAAATATGGTAATACATGTTTAAGTAGTTTGCTACCGCTGAAAAAATACTTGAAATTCAGCAAAGGGGGGAGGGGTGTGTTACTGTAATGTTTAAAATTCTGAAATAAAATAAATGGTCGCCAAACGTTTTCCACAAAAAGACCTTGAAGATTGATCAAAAATGTGTTTTTTGAATACTGTTGTTTACAACTGGTTTCTATGGCAAAACGTTCCGTCATATGTCAAAATTTTGTTTGGTGAGAAAGAAGTGGGAGAATTTTGAATATTAGTATAAGTTATGCAAGGAATGATGTGATTGCATGGAATCCTATGGAAAATGTTCCAAAATGGCCGCTTTGAAAATTATTTTGCATATGTTTTCTTGGAAACAGATTTGTCTTTCCCCGTAAAAACATTAAATATGAATGACGTGCATGTATGTGAACGATCACAACAATTTTTGAATGATTTACTGTGATCATTTTTTTTTCATTTTTTATTGCTAGCGAACTACCTTAATAGTATACAAAGGTTACATGTACAAATCATTAAAGAATATACGAGTTATGACAGGTAGGTAGGTATAAAAAAAAATATAATTGCTTATTAGCGAACAACAGTCAGTGTATTGTGACAATCGTTCAGACGTCTGTTGTAATACATATAAAGTTCAGACGTGCAATTACTGTGAATACAGGTATAGGGAGGTCAAAGAAGCCTGACCTGTCTCTGTGAACGAGTAATCACAATGTAAAAAAAAAATATAAAGAATGGGGACTTACGAACACATGTACAATACCGAAATAAAATACACTCGGGTTGGGGAAGTGTCCTTAACCTCAAGATTTATACATTTAGCGTTTTACAGTTGTTAACAGTCTTGCCTGTTATACCTTGTTTATGATTCATGAGTACTAATGCCATTTTAACAACAGTCTAAATATAACAATAAATCTTCTTTTGTTAAAAAAAAAACAAACTAAAATAGTATCAATGATTTTTAATAATAATTCATGATAACCATCCTGTATTATATATGATTTAATTTACAGTGCACAATACGCTGCCGAAGGATATTGAAAAGGTATCGTCCCAGGGGTGTTATAAATCGAGTGCCTTTATTTTATTTTTTTAAGTACCGGGTAGCTACACAACACCTGTCATAATGCAAGACAATCTGGATATATACTGACATTAACATGTTTAAAATTGCTGCTCATTAATACACATTTGCAAGCGTACATTATATGAATCGAGTGTTACACGGCTATATAGAACCATACACCAGTTAACAAAACAATGAAAACAAACATGCTGTGTACAAAAAATTATAGACACACATCAGTATTAATCAGTAATACTGGTAGTAATTAAATGTCA